TAAAATAACAGTTAATATAGATATCGCTTTCCTATCTAATTCGTGCAATCTCGAAATATAATGATTTCAAGCTTGCGCGCTTAAAATAATAATCTCATTTTGGTGAGGTGTTTCGTGGGATTAGGCATTGTATAATTGCGATGATTTATGTGGAGCATTTGACGAACTTGTAAGAAGAAGAAAAAGAAGAGGAAGAAGAAGTTGGAGAAGATGAGGAAGAGGAGGAGGAAGAAGAAGAGGAAGAAGACGAAGAAGAAGTTTTAGGAGAAGAAGAGGAAGAGGAGGAGGAAGAAGAAGAGGAAGAAGAAGAGGAAGAAGAAGAAGCAGAAGACGAAGAAGAAGAGGAAGAAGACGAAGAAGAAGTTTTAGGAGAAGAAGAGGAAGAGGAGGAGGAAGAAGAAGAGGAAGAAGACGAAGAAGAAGTTTTAGGAGAAGAAGAGGAAGAGGAGGAGGAAGAAGAAGAGGAAGAAGAAGAGGAAGAAGAAGAGGAAGAAGAAGAGGAAGAAGAAGAGGAAGAAGAAGAGGAAGAAGAAGAGGAAGAAGAAGAGGAAGAAGAAGAGGAAGACCGAGGGGGATGGGATAATAACTTAAACGGACAAATAAAAAAGTCCTAGTTGCCAGAGCAGCTTATCTATCTATTGTTGTTCCGCATTATGTTTATTAAAGTTAAGAATCCATATTGAATAATAATATCATGGGGCACGCGTCGCCGTTAATGGTTAAGCGGTGCCGTTAAACCAACTCTTCCGTCACGCGCCACAGAATTTACAATAACTTTACAAACAAACCCCGTAAAAACGTTTGCCGGCCAATAAGATGTCGAAGCGATATTAAAGCGATGTGACTCGTATCTATTAAATCTAAAATTCTTAATATGCATTCCTCGTTTCTTTAACGGCGCAGGGGCGTTGAATACTTATGGAGTGAGACGTGTTTTTATTCGAGCGAAAGTACATTGAACGCGATAAATAGCTTTTCATCAAGTCGAATAGCCGCTTTTGTTAATAATGCACACAAGAAATCGGTCGGGACGCAATGATTTTGCTAAAAACTCGTCTTGGCGAAACACACGAGCGACAGCGACGAAAGCAACGAGCGTTGGGACCCTGGGACAAAAAATATTTGGACGTGCAAATATTCGCGCGTAGATAGGATTTTTAAATCAGGCACGAGCTCCTGCGACTCGCACGAACACCGGCGTGGCTCACACATGGACAGAGTCGAATGTGCCACCGCCGCAGTCACCGTAGTCGTTGCGACTGCCGCCGTCGCCGCCGCCACCGCCGCCAACACCACCACCACCACCGTCACCGTCACCGTCGCCGTCGCCGTCGTCGTCGCCGTCGCCGTCGTCTCGTCCTCTCGCGAGGTTCGTTTCGCTTATCCTGGAGCCGGGGCCGCTTACTCGCTCCAAGCCGCCTTGTCGCAACAATGCCACTGCCTGGAAAGGCAACGCGAAACGAATCTATGAAAGTTGCACGGGCGGGGGGGGGGGATATCTAGGGGCTCGGCCGCCAGATGAACCGCGCGCCACCGGACGTGGGACCGATTTATCTGGCCGGATTGCGCAAGTCGTCGGCGCGGGGCCTTTTCGAGACTGCGACACTGTACGTGCCGAGGACGAGGGTCACTGACGTCCGTAGGGTGCCAAATGATGGATCAATCGAGGCGCCGACGAGCGTGTGTTGAAGCTGGGCCGACGACGGGAGGAGATTCTCTCTGCGTGCTTACGTGTGTGAGAGACAGAGAGAGACAGAGAGAGAGAGAGAGAGAGAGAGAGAGAGAGCGGGACCGCGAATACGGGGGATATTTATTTTCGATCAATAGCAAGTAATAAAGATATTAGCGTTAATAATCGAAAGCATAAATCGGTAGAGATCCCGAAATATCTTGAAAGGCGACAAGTACGAATATGGGGGAGGCGTATGTACTAGCAGTGTCGCTCAATTTTCTTCGACGATGTCTGTCTTGTGTCTGTCTGTCTCTCTCGTATGTGCATGCGTGAGTATGTATCAATCGGGCTGGGCTTCACAATGTAATCTCGAAATTTAAAGGAGAACATTTATAAAAAGCAAGGGCTTTGGAGAATTTTAAGTCCATACGATCGGACAGACGCGGATCGATTATTGAATAAGTGTGTGCCGTGGTTCGCGAGGATGAGCTTCGGGAGCTGGAAATTTGCCCGATAGTGGGAAAATAAAGTTTCGCTAATAATGCTGGCAGGCTTCTCATTATAAGTGCTCGGCGTCGAAATGCGGTAAGCCGATAATTCTCGTTAACGGCTGATTGGCATTTACACGAAGAAGGATACGAAGGATGAAGGAGTACGCGACGCGGAGGTGCGAGAAAATTTTGAAATCGCAGGCTATTACACTTGAGCCACTAGTGGACGATGGGGCCGTTTCTCCGTTTCTAATCGGCGACGATGTCAATTACTCTCGAATCATTTCATCGGTCCTTTGACACGCGCATACACTCTCACTTGACCACAAATGTCCGCGCTCGCACACGTAAGCACACGCATGTCGAATAATGCATCGAGGACAAATCCGTCAGAGTTAGCGGCAGCGCGGCGCAATAAATACCACGCATAAAGTGATTTACGCCCGGCAGTGCATTTCTTCGGCTCTGACGAAGGCGATTCGTTTGCCAGCGTTACTAATTTATCGACCGACTCACTCGCTCTTATACAAATAGAGGCTCGCGCGCGGCCACTGTACGCCCGCGACACGCAGATCGTAGATCGGACCGTAAATTATGGATTTATGCTCTGCTCGGCCTAGATCTTCCAACTCCGAGTCTGCGATTTTGCTTTATTTTTTGCCCAGCCGCCGACGTCGCCCGTCATAATTGCGATCACGTCAGCGTCATTTAGCCACTGAAAGGAACGTCGAGTCGCTGTCTCGCAAGACGTTTCACATTGTCTTCATTCAAGTCTGTCGTTGTGAAAATGCACTCCTGTATATATTTTAAAGGCAATGCGCGTTTCGTTATTCTCATGATGTAGTAACAATAATCTGTCGTAAATGATTTCGTTTTAAATGGGCCGCGCTCAGTCAATTATAGAATTAACAATTGACCTCCATATCTAATCGTCAATTTTTCCTGCTTCCAAGCACTTTCATGTCCCAAGTTTATTAAATAAAATTACGCTCAATTAAATTAACAAGAATTGGTTTTCCTCGACCATGTAAATATAAATAGACGTAAAAATATAATTTCAATAATAAAGATCTTATAGACACAATTGAAAGGCGTAGATAAGTTGCGCAACTTTTTGGAGCGCGGAGAGGGAGGAGTAGGGGGAGGCGGTTTGCGGCGGGCGGGCTGGGAGGGGGGATCGGGTGACGAGGGAGTGAACGAGTAGGGGAGGAGGTACAGTGCTATGGTGGTCTACATTATGGAAATAAGATAGTAGGTGTAAAATATATTCTTTTAGTTGCAGAGAAACGGGAACGGGAATAAGACGATTGGATGGAGTATTATATAATTCGCTGATGATTTCTTATCAATTCTTAATGCAATTCTTTATCATTATCAATAACAACTCAAACTTCAGATTTCGGATAAAGTGTGAGATTACATTTTCATGCAGCTTTTTTTTATTTTCATATAATACGACTGTAACCTATTAGTTTGCTCGTGTGCGCACACACGTACACACGCAAAAAAAAAACGAACAAGTTAACAAACAAACAAACACAAACGCACACCCACGCACACACTACACACGCACGCACACACGCGCGCACACACACTACACGCACACGCACACGCACACTCACACTCACACTCACACTCACACTCACACTCACACGAACAAAACAAGTATATATATGCATCTTAATTTGTTCAATCACCAATGCAGTTGAAAATACTGTTTAACTGCACACTTACAGTTAAACCGCAATGCTCACTAGACAAATTATTATTTTACAGCTAAATGGCCGATAAAAAATGCTTGCGAATACTTTAATAATGTTATTATGCATTTATAGAGTTATCGAGACGTGTCCAGGTATTAGTACTCTTACATTAGCTACGTGATGTAAGTTGCGTACAGCAATGCCTAACGTTATTATGCTGTTATGCAGTTAACAGTCGTCTGTTATGCGAGAAATTTATATTGCCAGCAGTATATCATTAGTTATTTCAATTCTTTTTGCAAAAACGGTGCCGTAAAAATGCGCAGATATAAATAATCGTGCGTCGCGGGGTACGTCGCCGTTAACAAGCGCCCATGTTAAATTATTCGCACCCGCTTTCGCTGTTCAGCCGGCTTCTCGTGTACTCGTCGATCGCTCGGTAACGGTGGAAGCCAAAGCGCAATTCCTAATAACGAGGACAACGAGCGCAAGGAGCTAAGAGCGCATCGCATTTATTGGGCCTTCATCCTTAAGCGGCGGCACATTACGCACCAGACGTCGCGGTATCCAGGCTGGCAAATAATCAATAAAATCCTTCGTTAAAAATGGTCCAGCAACGCTGAAAAGGCTTAGCTAGTCGATCCAGCAGCTCGTCGCTCTTCGTCAGCGGCGGCCGATTTTTAACTCCGACGCCGGCCTATTCTCGCCCTCCCGTCGCCTCGTCATCGTCGTCGTCGTCGTCGTCGGGCGCGACCCACCCTCAGCCTTGGCCCGGTTCCTCGACCGGGAATAGTGATCGAGAGCCGAGTTACGTGGCTTACCTCGTTTATGCCACATTTATATGGGAGTGCACTGCCCCTGAGAACGAGGTAAATTGGAATTTAATACAGGAGAGTCGGATTTGAGAGAGCACGATCGCGCGGCTCTCGCCTTTTCGAATAGCGTTAAAATACGACATGCGTGCGCGCGTGTTTCTTCGTGATTTGCGGAAAAAGGCAAAGTATTGTGAAAGGCTCGATTTACAAAAACTAAGCTTTATTGTACGGCTGTGATTTAAGGCACTTGTCGGGCTCTTTTAATTGTCTACTCGCTGAGCGATGGAATGTGAAAAAAATTATTTTTAACACACCGCAGAGTCTCTTGCGTAATGGGCCGTTTTTTTTCATCCTCCATTTTTCCTTTCCTTTTGACATTTTTTCCTTCTCCTCCTCCTCCTCCTCCTCCTCCTCCTCCTCCTCATTCTTTCCTCCCTCTTCTCTCGTCATTTTCGATAAATCTAGTACATCGGGAGCGCGATAAATTATAGCTCTCGATAAACCGTCATTTTCAAACTAGATAAGCGAATTAAAAGAATTACGAAGATCGGCAAAAAGTCTTTTTCCTTCGCTTATACTTTAATGCTCCCGTTGTCGTTTTATTTTAATATCGGAGTAGTCGATCTAGCGAAAAATAAAAATACGGCCTCTCAAAGTCGTGTAGTACATGAATTCAATATTAATTAGTTTATAGCCACGAATAAATTTCTGCTTGAATAGCAATGGGATTTTTCTCGCTAGAAAATGCGTTCGTTTTTTTTTCTCTCTTTCTTTCTTTTCTTTTTTTTTTTTTTTCTTTTTTTTATGCAAATCATGCTCCGAAGGCATTTACGTTCAATGCATGAAATTAATAAAAAAAAAAAAAAAGTGACTAACAGCAAGAGTCTTGCTCATAAAATTTGCTCCCGGCTCTTACGTTCGTTTGAAATGCGGCATATAACGCGGCAACGGTAGCATTATGCAGATGTTGCGCTCTCTTCTTAAATTTCAAAAAGACCTAACTGTATTCCGAGGCGAGGAAACAAAGACGAAAAAGCGAGCAGTAGTAGTAGTAGCACCAGCAGCAGCAGCAGCAGCAGCAGCAGCAGCAGCAGCAGCAGCAGCAGCAGCAGCAGCAGCAGCAGCAGCAGCAGCAGCAGCAGCAGCAGCAGCAGCAGCAGCAGCAGCAGCAGCAGCAGCAGCAGCAGCAGCAGCAGCAGCAGCAGCAGCAGCAGCAGCAGCAGCAGCAGCAGCAGCAGCAGCAGCAGCAGCAGCAGCAGCAGCAGCAGCAGCAGCAGCAGCAGCAGCAGCAGCAGCAGCAGCAGCAGCAGCAGCAGCAGCAGCAGCAGCAGCAGCAGCAGCAGCAGCAGCAGCAGCAGCAGCAGCAGCAGCAGCAGCAGCAGCAGCAGCAGCAGCAGCAGCAGCAGCAGCAGCAGCAGCAGCAGCAGCAGCAGCAGCAGCAGCAGCAGCAGCAGCAGCAGCAGCAGCAGCAGCAGCAGCAGCAGCAGCAGCAGCAGCAGCAGCAGCAGCAGCAGCAGCAGCAGCAGCAGCAGCAGCAGCAGCAGCAGCAGCAGCAGCAGCAGCAGCAGCAGCAGCAGCAGCAGCAGCAGCAGCAACAGCAACAGCACCAGCAGAAGCACCAAAAACACCAGTAGCACCAGAACCAGCATCAGCGGCTCCAGCACCAGCGACACCAGCAACACCAGCAACGCCAGCAATGACAACAACGGCAACGGCGACGGCGGCATCCGTGGCGGCAACGCGCGGCAAGGATATACTCGCTCACACGTAAGAAAAAAAGAGACAGCAGACGAAAACAACCAGCGTGCAATCCGACGATTCGCAATAAAATCATCCCTCCATTCAAGTGTTTGCGCGCCCGCCGAAATGCCTTCCCATTCTTCGGTATGGAAATTTTCACCGCGCGCGATATAAAAAAAAAAAAAAAATGGCGAATAAAGAGGAGGCAGAGCGGCGATGGCGAAGGGGGTGAGGTGGCCGAAAAGTTGGTTAAAGGTGGTTAGAGGAGGAAGGAGAGGGAGGCGGGATCCTCGTAAGGCTCTCGATTCGGCGGAGGACTTTTGTTTCGCTGACGCAACTAATTTTGCTACGCTGTATACGGGAGTATCGGGGGATTTGGGGGCCTCTCGGCGCCTCTGTGTGCGTGGACCCGAGGCGGACGGGGCGGTAGTTCGTTGTCACTTGCATCGATCGCGCGCGCCTCCGAACCGCAACAGGATCGCGTCGCCCCGGTGCGGATTCCTCGGCTCTTCGCTTCGACTTGGCTAGCGTGTCGGCGAATACGGCCGCTTGTCCTCCTGCTCCTCCGCCCTTCGCCCTTCGCCAATCTCGCTGTACCCTGCCCTTTGGAGCATCCACGCTCCATTTCTTTCTTCGGTTTTGTTTCGGATGGGCGGGGGTCGGGTGGCGGATGGCGCGCGTAGGAAGTGAAACGAAGGCGGGGAGGACCCGGTTACCTGCCAGCCGCGCGCGCTTACGTACAAAACGTATAAAGCAGTGGACCTGTTGTTCGTAACACGTGTTTGCGCGATCCGACCTCTTCTCTCTTGTCCCCTTCATCCACACACACACCTCCCCCCCCCTCCCCTTCCCCTCCCCCTCCCCCATCCTGCCCCATCTCGTCGCGGCGCTCGCGTGTTTCAGCTGGCGTGTATTCGTCGTTGGCCCGCTGCCGCCGGAGCCGCTAAAGCTGGACGGTTAGAAGGCGACGATGTATTGCCACCGATGACAGTTCGTCTCGCTTCTTTTCCGTCTTTCTCTCTTTCTCTCTTTTAGCCGTCTCTCTGCCTTCTGCGGTTCTTCGTCTTCGTCTCCGGCGTCGTTGTCCTCGGCATCCGCGTCTCGCCCTCCACGCTCCCCAGTCAGCGGTTACTTCTTGCTTCTCTACATCTCTGCTCGCCCCCTCCCCCCCCCCCCCCCCCCCCCCCCCCCCCCCCCCCCCCCCCCCCCCCCCCCCCGCCCCCCCCCCCCCCCCCAATCTTCGTTCTACTTCTCTACCAGCCCCTGACTGACATTCCTGTATATTTATTCGCTGTGTGGGTGAATACCTAAATATTTTATAAACTTTTTCCTCTTACAAGCTTTATATTTATCTACTTACGGGCATTTTTTTCCGAATTGTATTCCGCGCCACGGATGACATTCTTTTTGGTCTCGTTCCCTTTTTTATACACTTACTATTCCAAGGACATTGAATTTAGTCGATTTGCAAGTCACTCGCTTTATTTATCCTACCTCGCCCATTTCATTCAACGGCGTTACACATTATTTTCATTTATTAATTTCTGCACATTTTCTCTCTTCTTTTTTCATCCTCTTGACATTATTATTTTTTTTTTTTTTTTTTACTTTTTTTTACTTTCTACCTCGTCAAACTCAATATCCATTACTCGATTCATTGTCGAGTTAAGTAAGTACATTATTATAGATTTATTGAGCCGACCGATTGATATTTTTCTCATTAGCTCGTGTCGAGCTGAGTCTTGGTTGGTCTAGTCCAGCTCGAATCGAGGAGCCCTATTTTTCCTCTCATCTTTCAATTTTTGTTCTGTTTATTTCGTTTTTTCTTTTATTTAATTTTATTTTATTTATTTTTTTTTTTCGTTGCATCACGAGTGTTCTCTAAATACTCTGAAGCAGCACATTTGCCTTTGATGTCATTTGAAAATATCGTAGGCACCTTAATGACCGAGGACGCGAAATATCGGCCACCGAGCTGAATATTCATGATGCTGATAGAGTAGGATGGGAAACATTTTCATTACGTTTTCTTTGGGCCATGCGATATTAATGACGAGATAAATCCGTTCGTGTTAGAAAAATATTGAAAAGCGAACAGCCGTGACCTATTGCTCCAATCGACGCTTCGGACGCTCCAATTCGGCTCTGTCTTGTTGCATTATCGCCGCGCGCTACTCGGCCTTCGGTCATAAGGGTTATAAAATAAATCAACAAATAAACAAAGAAATGAACGAATGAATAGTAATAAATAATGAAATAATGAAATAAATAAATAAATAAATAAATAAATTAATGGCGCACTCGTGGGATGCGATGGCAATTCTGGACTCAAGGAGGGACGCGTAAATGTAGAGAGGAGTTGCACGGGCCCGTGGGCCTGTCGCGGGCTAGTGATCGGGCCGCGGGATTTGGCCACCTCGTTGTGCGGCGACTGTGCGAAACCGCAGGCGACACGTTCGATTTAATTCCGCGTTGCTGCCGGGCCGCTCACGACTATTGTAAGAGGATCGCATTCCGGGAATTCAGACCGCAGCCGATCGTCCTGGCCCTCAATTTTGGGGAACAATCCCTTTAACCGCTCGAGCTCGTGTCCCTCTCGGTCTCCTCCTCCTCCTCCTCCTACCTACCACTCACCCCCCGTCGCAAACCATCGCCAGGGCTACGCGGCACCAACTGGAATAATGCGCTCTCCTCTTGAACGGCTTCGAGCTTATTGCTTAATTGCCGCGATTGTTTTTCACCGAATGGCCCGGCCCGCTCGGTTAAAGCGCTCTCTACGAATAATAGGGCGTCCTCCCTTCCTTCCCTCCACCTTTCCTGCCCCATAAGAGTCTTTGGTATTACCAGATTCCGATCCTCCTCCTCACCTCGGGCTCTACACTTATCTCTGACAATGTAAGAGATATTACAGGGCGTAGAGATCATTTTCTTATCTTACGGATGCATAAAGCCCCGATGCCACGGAGCTGCGTTGCAGTGGCCTCGTAATTCCATGCTTGCCGTATTGCTCGGAAGCGGCGACTTTATAATGAAAAAAATGTTGATAATTTACTCGATCGTTCGCTTATTTGTCACAAAGTGCTCATTTTCAGCCCGAGTGCCTACGAAAAAGGCATCAATTTAGCTCCTAAATTTTCCAGCGATCGGCCGTCGGGCGATGGCTTCGTACGGCCCGACGCGCCACGCATGCACCTCCTTCTCGTAATGTTTAACAATTTCGAGAAAAATTACATTTTACAATCAGCCGAGCGCGTTATTCGACGTGCAATATTTTTTTATTTTTTTTTTGCGAAATAATTTTGCATTTTTATATCCTTCTCGTTTTAAGTAAGTAAGAGGCATGCCTACGTAATATAATTGGTGGGAACGAAGTTTGACGAGCTTACCAAATACGGAAATATAGGTGCGCGTGCGCGCAAGTGAAAAAAAAAGAAAAAGAAAAAAAAGAAAAAGCAAAACAAAAATGTATATATGTGCTCGAGTCCAACTGCAGAGCGATCTTTTTTAACAACCTCTCTGTCCCGGTAAAAAAGGAAAATTAAAATTTTCTGAAAATCCCCTGTACCATAAATAAAGCCTTTGTTGCTTACTTTGCCGAGTTAGCGTCGTGGGTCTCTGGCTTCATCTCTTTTCAGTAATCTGACCCAGTTACTAATGCTCGTAATGGACTATATGGTTTATTCCCGGCTGTAGCATTCCGAGGAGTGCTTTCCTCATACGGGCGTCCCGCTGAGGCGCTGAGGTCTGCACGGGATCTATCTACGATTTCCTCCGTTGCGGATTATCGTTGTCGATCAAGGCATCATCGCCCTTTTTAATCTCGCGCGGGTAATTGTTGCTTTTGTTCCTGAAGGGAAAAACAGTAACGGTGATTTTCTAATTCGATGCATGCGATTAGCATCCGATGGCTCCAGCGATAGGGATTACCTCTGCCTTAGCGCAAATTTTCTATTTTATGTAAATGGTTGGAAAGGAAAGCAGCCGGTCGAGCACAATTGTCCGCGCGGCGGAATATCGGGATCCGGCTGTTATGTCCCGACGTCGAGGCTTGGCATGGGCATCCGACCAGGAGCGCAGTTTATTAAAAGATCTTATCGAACTATTTGTATATATTAAATGTCCGTCGATTATTTCAATTATTATTCAATTGCTGGTAAATTGGGCGGCGCACAAGGCATATCGACTCCAACGACTACTATCACGACCACCACCACCGTCGCCACCACCGCCGCCACCGCCGCCGCCACCACCACCACCACCACCTCCAGTGACAATAATAATAATGAGAATAATAATGATAACAACATTAACAACGACAACAACATAAACGACAACAATAATGGCAATGATAACAATTAGAATGATAATAGTAATCAAGTAAGAAAATTAAGTGAAATCGAATGAAACGAAAGGAATGAACTTGGTTAATCTCTTAAGTCTGACATTTATGTCGAGCCAACGAGTCAATCAAATCAGATGCGTTTGCCAGTTCTAAAAGCATCAATCGAGTTTATAAAAGATCGATAATTCCATTTTCATTTGTCAACATTTACCGCTATTTTTCTAATCTCGTTGAACTCTGAATTCGGGGTATTTATTATGAATGCTTATTATGCACAAAACAACTGGGTTGGGCATTATATATTTGAGATTTGCCGAGTCGAGATTAAAACTCTTTATACAAGGAACATGTGATCTAGTATGATCGACAATAGATATATTTATTCTATAACGGGAATTAAGGTCGTGTTTTCTGAAACCT